TCGTCATATAACCACAATAAGTTCCTATTATTTTACTATAAATATAGCCTCTGTATGTTAGTTAGACACATTAGAACTTCAGTCTACTGGAGTCTGGAGAGTTAACATCGATTGTGATACAGTGAAGTGTAACGTATCTAATGTCATTGTGACCTGTGACCTTTATTAAAGTTTTTAAAATTTAAACGTGATTTGTGAATTTGTGAGTTGTTGGGCGAAACAAGGGAGGCAATCCCCAACAATATCAATACATTTATTGAAAAATAGCTATTATGTCAAAATAAGAAAACTTAAGATTCTCACGCGAATTAGCCTACGGTGTAGACCCCGGCAGAAACACGCGAATAGGCAATGTTTTTATAAGCGACCGTTAATAGTTGCAAGCGACGGTAATAATAACATTAACAAGGTCAAGGTTTTATCGAAAGCAAATGACTGTTAGATTTCCTTCACAAATTTATAACTAAATAACGTTATTTCCTTTAGATTTAGCTTTATTGTAGCTTTTTAAAGGTATACAAAACCCGTGGAAACGGTGAATTACTATAATAGATTGAAAATGATTATTATTTATCATTTTGACGTTTGAGTGATTGAAATGAGTTAATTTACACTACATCGAATGTCATGTTGAATGTCATGTTGAATCTTATGCGTACTTCACAATGGTTGCTATTTCGTTGTATTAAATTTCAATAGTATTTATAATTCAAATTTTGTTTGATATTTATATTTCATGTTATTTACAAAATGTGCTGTAGTTTTGAAGCTTTGCACACAATATAATCAGTGCGAGCACAATGGCTCCGTTTCAGTTCGAGTATATAAAAATCGAGTATTTTGATAGCGTTCGGCTTTGAGGCTTTCACGATATATAAATATAAACGCTTGATAATTGATAAGTATTCAGTGCGAGCACAACGGCTGCAAAATCACAACAAATAACAAAATACAAGATAGGTTAAAAACAGTAAAGCTTTACCTACCTCGATTTATTTTTCTAAGGCGCTCAGTTATGTAAATTTTCGGCGAATAATCAGTATTTCTTTGCCTTTCCTCGATGAAAACCCGGCATGAAAATGCTCGTCGGAAAAACTCGGTATTTGTCGTACACTCGTACTTTACGAATCTACCACGTGATTTACGACCGGTACGCACACTGAACACGACGACAAGAAATTTAGAGCTATATGAAAGTTGCATGCCATATATGGCATGCAACAACAAGAAATTTACAGCTATATGAAAGTTGCATGTCATATATGGCATGCAACAAAAATTGAGATCAGCAAAAAAATGCCAACCTAAATCTGACCTAGGTCGGCACGTCTCTGCATTTTTTAAAATCTGTTTCCCTGTCTTGGAACACTAGTAATCACGTATTTACGAATCATTGAAATCGGAATATAAAGCATGCCGTTTTCCGCGGAAACGTGAATTACAGTAACACGACAACTTTTCTTTTGGAGTCTTACCTAAATTATATATAAAATACCGGTCAATTTTTAAACCTTAAACCGAAGTGTGTTTCGTTAATTGAACTACAAATCGAATTCTATAATCGCTGACTTTTTAACAGCTATCAGTGCCAAAAAATATTCTTACTTTGGCTGAATTAAGGTCAGCAAAAATTCACCGACCTGGGAGGTCGATAGGTCGGCATTGCTGACCTATCGACCATTAGAGGGCTGCAATAGTAATTATATATAATACTATCAGTTGGTAATTATCAAATACACCCTTCCGGAAAGTATGTCACTTTGACTGTAGAGCCTCGTTTTTGTGTATGTCACATTAGTTAAAGCAGGGTTCGTAGCGGTCTTTGAAATCCTTGAAAGTCTTTAAATTGGAATGCAGGTCTTTGAGGTCTTTGAAAAGTCTTTTAAATTGTGTGAAAAAGCAAAGAAAGTCTTTAAAGGTCTTTAAATTCTTTATTGAGGAATTGATTATACGATTTCCTAGCTAATAAAATAGATTGATTGAATCAATGATGCTCACACTCGCAATTTTTCGACAGCTGATTGCTCTCAAAGGTCTTTGAAAAGTCTTTCAAAATAGGCAGAAAAAATCTTTGAAAGTCTTTGAATTTTTTTGGTCTTGGAGACTACGAACCCTGTAAAGCCTAACGTCTCAATCACGAAAATGCGGCTCTATAGCCTCTATAGCCAAGGTGACGTACTTTCCGGAAGCTTGTATTACCCTTTACCTTTGAACAATTTTGATCATTTGATACACAAGCCATGTTTACAGTTCATGCCTTGGCATAGTTTTTTTGTTATAATAGGATAATAATACACATAATTTTTCTATATTTACATACATTTTTAAAACAGCTGGATTACCAATACAAGTCAATGCCTTTAATTATACAATGACATTAAAAGAATGAAAGCGCTAGGAAGTCTCGAACAATTCATTGTCAGAACAATTCATTCAATATTTAGCACAATACAGTCACATCCTCATTCCCATCCATGGTCTTTCCTTTTGTATGATTGTTGCAAAATAATCCAAGATACTGTAGTTAATTAGAAATCTTCTAGTTTTTGGGACTTTTAGCAGATCACGTGACCAGCATCTTTTCTTCCCTCTCCAAGAGGTAAGACCTTGGGTACGACGTTGGATGAAGTCACTCAAATGATCAAAATACTACAACTTTTACTGTACATGTACAGTAGACAAGTAATTGGCTTGTCTAGTTTTCTGGAAGTCAGTTCTCTATATAGGGATTTCCATTCAGTGCAAAATGCCAATGTCATATCAGTTGCAGATAAAATGCACAATTGTAACAGTTGATAATTTAGCAAAAACCAATCACAAAACATTGATCATGCAACATTTTGCACAGAGTGCCAATCAGTGAGAAATGTACAGTACTTACATACTGTATAATACAGTATTCTGAATAAAATTTTAAGTATATTAAATTAATATATTAATTTAAAGACACTCATAACAAGAATAAACTAACAAAACAAGATATACAATAAATAGTACATGAAAGAATCTTCATGTTATGGGTATTCTTTCTGGGCTTTGATTTTCATTGATATTATATTACAGCACAGCACCATATAGTATGATCATTAAAATTTATTATAGTTTGATGATAATGATACTTTGTGTACATTAGCGTAAATACCTGAATGCACTACCTCAATCATTACCAAGGGTGTGCAATTATGGTTTCTTTGCAATTATGGTCATTGTAGCCAAATGATTGCAGTGTTGGATTATCACTTAACCAACCTCTTGCTCTCTGGTGTCCAAAATACTCCTCCAAAGGGTCCTGGCAAAATTTTTCAGAAAGTACAAATTCACAACCTTCTGGAAGCAGAAACCTTACAACCTCAATTAGTGAATTTACAGTTATCTTCATCCCTCTGTATGTTTGATGCGAGATGAACATCTTTCCTCTGTCATCACTTGTAAATGCACCCTGTCGTTCTTGGACTCTCTTGTACCAATCCTCGAAGTATGCAATGAATACGTTTTGTAGCCAGTCAAAACGACTGTCATCAAGACTAGTGTAATCAGCTAGAAATTCATTCCGCTTTCTTATGTGCTCAGTAGTTGACCGGGTATTGAGACAGTCAAAAAACTTGTTGACCATCTCACAAAACTTTACGGTTTCTCTAGCGTCTCCTTGGGGGTAGTGCCGATGAAGTGTCATAAGGGACCGGTCATTATTTATGGCGGGGGGTGGCACCGAAGAGAAATGTTTTTCGTAGCAAAAATTTTGCTGACCCAACCATTAAAAAGTAAAAAAAAATGATTACCTAACCTCAAATATCAATTAAAAAATAAATTCCCACCCCTGGCCAAAAAATTTACAAAAGGTACCATTCAGTTGTCATATGAAATTGTGAAATTTGTGAAATTTTCTGAAGTTTCATGTTGTCTGCACATGTAGCTACTTTCTTTGGAGATCCCATCGGAAATTGATCAAGATAGTGACTCTGATTGATATATACTTTTCGTTGTTTCTTTACACATTTAGTAAATTTTAGTATAACACCAAGTTCATCAATTGCTGCTATTTTGCTAGCAAATCCATGTATAATAAACCCGGGTGTTTTGCAATCAAAAGTGATGCAACCTGGATAGTGGAATAAGTTGACTACTGTAGGCACAATTTTTGGCCACTTAATAGTCAAAGGTCATGCATAAATAAGAACAGTCTTTAATATTACCGCCTTATGGAGACTTTATATTAATTGTGCTACTCTAGGATCTAGAAGACCCATAGGTCCCATGCTCGACTAGCAACATAATCAAGTTAGTTATGTTAATTCATTATATATAGGATCAATGTTAAAGGCAAGGTGGGCTATAAGCTATAATCATTTGTATGGCTTATAGACGGCTAATTGCTGCGAATAAATTGAATAATGAATGTAGCACAATATTAAATAGTTGCATGATGACGTCAAAGAAACTAGTCAGACTACATTTGCAAGTTTTGCAACTCTCATCGCTTAAATTCCCCATCCCTGAATACAAAATAAACAGTAAACAGTAAACAACGATTACCTTTTACATACCATATATAAAACGGAGTTTTCATCCTTTCTAGAAACTCACTTCCTGAACTTTTGAGCGCGAATGTAATGTATTAAAAATGTATATCATATTCACAGCGGTTAATATCCATTAATATATCGCGGGCGCAATACAAAACAAAACACGAGAATTTTAAAATGTTTTGATTTGCAAATAAATAAATAATATTTGATGTCATAAAAATTTTTAAATTTAACTCAACACAAACTGGTAAGTTCATGACATGTATAATTTACCTATATGTTGTTATATTGCAATTCTGTACCCTACTCCTTTGAAAATTGTTTGCAATTGCATATGATGTGAACATGTGGTCATTTATTACAGTTTTGTCATGAATTTAATAATACCCCAATGGCTTCGAAATAGACAATGGATGAAAAAAGTCATGAATATTGAGCTTATTTACCCTTCAAACACTTGATCGTCATGCGCATACAGTGTATTGTTTGTTTCCAGAACCCCCTCAAGCAACACCGCGGAAAAACGTCTGCGCATACACCAAATTATGAAAATATGGCGGGGAATTTGAATATCAATTTCTAAAACAAAAACATGCTTATTAATTGGTCAAAAATTAGTAAAACAAACGAGAAAATATAGCAAATGGGTAGACTACACATTAATTGAAAGCGTCCTGGCATTTAAAGTATGGAATGAAATATAATTCAAGTAAAAAATTGTTGATTTTAACGGGCACAACTTCGAAAATTTTTGCAAAATTATTCAAAACAGAAATTCAAACTAAAAGTTAAGAAAACTCTCGAAAAGTTAAGCTTCTTAACCCACTCAAATTGTAGAATAAATCCTAAAGTTTATGTTACTGTCTTTGACCCCTCGTCAAAGTGGACGCCACTGTCTTTCGCATATCATGTTTTCCAAACACACATCCAACGCTTAAACTCGAATATTTATGTTACTTTACTTTACTTACATCTTGTTTACTTACTCTTTGTTTACGTTAAGAACCGTTTGGTTCTTCATGCACTAATAAATGTTTTAATATCAACTTATGGCGTCCATATTAATCGTCCAAAACCCCTCTAAAACAACAATAAAATCTCGTGTTCTGTTATCACATGACCGGAAATAAATTTTCTCGGAAATGAATGTCCCCGGAAGACACGGTAGCCACACCGGCCCCTAAATCGATTGTAACGCAACAAACTATTTACATTAATAATATCAAGCTACCGATTTATATTTATGAACTTATCTGTCTATTACGTCCATTGAACTAGTCTTCTCTGCAGTTTCTGAATCATACTCTTTCCGCCGTTTGCTCTGGAATAATTTCTCCATCCATTTCCAACACGCACAATTTAGTTACAGGTCGCGTCAATACCGTGGTACTTGTCTTACATTCCTCATTTCGTTTTCGTTTCGCTCCTGTCGCTACGGTTGAACTTGTTCTCACCTTCACTGTTCGAACGTATCCGTCTTTACTTAATTCCGCCTCTACAACCACTGCCAACGGCCACTGTCCGCGTGGATATGCTTCGTCAGCAAGTAAAACTACGTCGCCAGCTTTCAGATTTTCCTTTGGGGAATTCCATTTTCTTCTTTCCATTAATGTCGGCAGATACTCCTTCGTCCACCGTCGCCAAAATACGTTTGCAAGGTATTGCGCCTGTCTCCATGCACGCTTACTGTACAAATCCTCCTTGCTAAATACACCAGGGGGTAAACTTGGACTTGGTCGCAAATGCAGCAGATGGTTTGGCGTCAATGGTTCCAAATCCGAAGGGCTATCGCTATTTCTAGTTAGAGGACGAGAGTTCAAAATGTTCATCGCCTCCGCCATCAAAGTAAGTAGCACTTCATCTGTAACTAGTTGTTCTCTGAGGACTGCCCGTAGTATCTGTCTCACTGATCTTATCATTCTTTCCCATACTCCGCCCATATGGCTTGCTGATGGAGGGTTGAAGGTCCATTGAATACTTCTCTGTAAGCAAAACATGCTGATTCTCTCATCGTTCCATTGCTCTATGCATTCTGACAATTCCTTATTAGCGCTAACGAAATTAGTTCCACGGTCACTCCTTATTTCCTCCGGACACCCACGAATACTTATGAATCTTCTCAGCGCGTTTAACATGGAATCAGTATCTAGTGAATGTGCTATTTCAATATGCACAGCACGGGTTGTGAAACAAGTAATGATACATCCATATCTCTTCACCTTCGACCGTCTTTGTTTGACTTGGAGTGGGCCAAAATAGTCAACGCCTACGTACGTAAATGGTGGTTTGTTCGGCGTAAGTCTAGTTTCTGGTAAATTGGCCATAAACTGTTCACTCAGTTTTGCCTTCGCTGGCAATTCACGCACGACTTTATAACTCGTTTCACCTCTGCTCTCCCTTTAATAATCCAAAATTTCTTTCTGATCGAAGATGGTACTGATTCTTGTCCCATATGACCTACTTCGTAATGGTGCTGGCGAATAATCATCTCGGTTACTCGATGCTTGGAAGGTAAAATAATCGGATGTTTCGAGTTGTTATCTATACAAGCGTCAGTCAATCTTCCTCCGACTCTTAGAAGACCTTCTTCCACGAATGGATTTAACTGGCGAAAGGCTGATCCTTTCTTCTTTGGTAATTTCTTTGATTCTTTCTGGTTCGCTTGGGATGTAACAGTTTTCAGTTCATCTGGAAACTCTACTATTTGCACTCGTTGCAGGATTACTTTCTCTGCTTCATTTAGCTCATCCAAGGTTAATTGTCTTGGCAATGTTTCTTCTTTATTTTTGTGTGATTCCATTTCGTTTGTGACGATTTTCTTTAGCTGTAGCTTCGCCCGAAGATGTTCTCTCAAACGCAACAGCTATGCTACCGCACGCCTCAACTTCCACCAACTAGAAAAGTATGAAATCAGCCTTTCCAAGGGATGAATGCTGGTGGTTGCTGTGTAGATCCGAGCTTCTTTCCTAACTTCTGGCTCGTCTTCATTCATAGTTGGTATCTCTTTCGTCTGCGGCCATTGGGTTTCGTTCTTCCATAAAAATTCAGGACCTTGCAGCCAACGATTGTTCTTTATCAAATTGTCCAACCTAAGACCCTTTGATCCATCATCAGCTGGATTTTCTTCTCTATTAACATATCTCCATTCACTAACTTCCGACCCGTTGTGGGTAATGGTAAGACGGTTCGACTCAAACACATGA